TCATCGGGCGCGGACCGAGGGTGGCCGCCGCTCGTCTGTCAGGCATCCAAGAGCGGCGCGCTGCGGAGACACGCCGGCCTGAAGAATGAGGACTTATCTGGAGCGCGTCGCCGCGGAGGACGGCCGCTGAGACCCTCATCGGGGCCGGGCCGAGATGAAGCGGTGCACAATAAGGTCGAGTAGCTTTCCCATATCGACAGGAGCACAAATGGAAAAACTCACCAAGCAAATGACGACGAACTATAACTCAAGGATTGACGTTTGAAAATGGCTTCCGGAGTGTCGTCCTAAAATAGCTCACCAAGTCGCATTCGACGGTAACCCACGAAGGGTTATTCGAAGGAGCGCTAACAAAGCGCCATCCGGAACTAACTCACGCAGAACGTAACTGTCCGATGGGTACCGAAGTTAAGAGCTCGCTCCTTCCGGGATCCTCGCCACACCGCCCGTGCCCCAGCCCATGAGGTCGCCTCCCCTCGGCTTGCCGCGGTTCGCTCGCACGGCTGGGTCGCTGACCGGTCGGGCGAGCCCACTCCACCGTGGCGGGGGGTGGCCGGACGCCTTCATCCCTGATTTGGCAGCTGCCCGTGTATGCTGTTGAGTTGCAGCCGGGAGACGCGACAATAAACACAGCCGTGCCGGGCCGGCCGGCCGGCGGCGCTGAGCGCTGTCACACGCTGAGAGGCCGGCCGTCTCCGCCGCGGCCGCGCAGCGCCCGTCGTCTCAGGTGACGGCCACACGACAACAATAAAAGTTACAGCCGCCAGATATACGCACCGTAAACTCGGCCAAGTGGGGCGTACGACGTCAAACGGAGCCGGCTTACGGCCGGTCACTCACTAATAGGTGTCAGTTTACCGCGGCGAGGGGAGGCGCCGTCGCCCGTACGTCTGCGCCGGTGGAGACGCGGCGTGGTGCCGGCAGTCGGCATCTCAGATGTGGCCGGCGCGTCGGTAGTGCGGCAGAGTCGCGGGGAAATTCCCAGCCGCCGCCCCCGCTGGCCGGCCCACTCCCGAGTCTGGACGCGCCGCCCGCATCGTTGCAGCATCCACATTCATGTCATCTCTCTCTCTCTCTCTCTCTCTCTCTCCTCATCTCCTCTCATCTCGTCTCTCTCTCTCTTCTCTCTCTCTCTCTCTCTCTCTCTCTCCTCTCTCATCTCTCTCTCTCTCTCTCTCTCTCTCTCTCTCTCTCTCTCTCTCTCTCCTCTCTCTCTCTCTCTCTCCTCTCATCTCTCTCTCCTCTCCTCTCTCCTCCTCCTCCTCTCATCTCTCGTCTCTCCTCTCCTCTATCTCTCTCCTCCTCCTCTCCTCTCTCTCTCTCTCATCTCTCTCCTCCCTCTCTCTCTCACTCTCTCCTCTTACTGTTCTTCTTCCTCTCCCTTTCCATCTCCCTCTCCCTCTACCTCTCCCTCTCCCTCTCCTCCTTCCCGTTCTCCTTCTCCTTCTTCCCTTCCACTTCTCTTTCTCTTTCTCCTTCTCCTCCTACGGTAGCGCCACATCGTGCCGCCCACAGACGGCGCCCACAGTGGACAGGGAGCCGTGGCGTTACCGCTCCGCCCCCGGCTAGGCCGGGCCATCTGTTTGCCTCCACCCCCCCCCCCCCCGAATGGTGAGCATGCAGGCTGTGGTCGACCCTCCACCGCCGGACCCACTTACCCCAATGTAATTTGATGAAAATTAACCCCGTCCGTGTGCGACGGCACGGCAAATCTCCAGTTGGGCACGTAATTGAGACAAAATCGTTAAAAATAAGGACCGCGCTAACGCTAAGGTGATATAATAGCAGCGTGTACAGGTAAGCCGTAGTCGAATGTGGCTGTTTTTTGGCCCTGGGTCGATTATGAGCGGAGCGTTTTGCGGTTTCTCGAGTGCGCTGAAATAGAGCAATTAACTAAGTGGCAAACTCCGCAAAGGGGCCACAACCGTACCTGATATAACCGACACGTTGCCCAGCCGAGTGGCTGCTTTCATATCGCCCGCAGCCAGCGAACATCGATCTGGGCTCCCACCAGATGTTCACCACGGGCGTATTCCGCTATTCCGAGTTATCGGACGCGTTCAAAAAGCCTAACAACTTCTGAGGTGCCTGCTGGTGGGAAAACAAGCCCACCGTTTTGTTAATTATCAACACGATTTCTTTCTTTGAATTGGGGAGTCAGTTTGGTGTGACAGATGGTGTTCGTTTCAGCAGTAGAAATAACGAAACACCATTAGAACAGGCTGCAGGCGACAAAGCACAAGCTTACGAACACCCCAGACTTTGGTTTTTTCTCCCCTGTCCTTGAAGTTCTCTGGTGAAATTATTGGTCCCTACCGTGACAACACTGGCCCCGCCATTGCTCCCTACCGTGACAACATTGGCCCCGTCATTGCTCCCTACCGTGACAACATTGGCCCCGCCATTGGTCCCCACCGAAACAACATTGGCCCCACCACTGACTTTTTTGCGAACATTTCCTATCGTTTTGGCGTTCTCGTAGTTCAATGCCACAGCTAAAGAAAGCTCTGCCACCCCTGGATGCTTCTAACTCTCTGCTGACACCCTCCGTCTTTCTCCAGAGCTCCTCATAACCTGAACATCATCTTTCTGCTGAGCCGCAAACATCGGCCGCATCGCCTCCAAACGCCACGACCAGGGCGGCAACCTTGCGTAATTTCTACCGGCGAGACGACGCCCAGCGCGACGCGTGACAAGCGAGGTGTCGGCGCATACATGATGATGCTTATGCACCCCTGGGCGATTCATTGACGGGCGTTGGCACCGCCTCCTGCCCCGCCGCCGCAGGTGCATACCGGGCTCGCCCCGCGCGCCGGCTGGCCGCCAGACGGCGCCGCGCTCGCCGCTCGACCTCCGGCGCCCCGCCCGCGCACCTCGGTAACAGCCGGGCGGCCGATGGAGATGTTCATAATGGGAACAAACAGGACCCGGTCGAGTCGGCAGTTACCTCATTGACCTCTGACCCGGCCAGTCACGTGACCAGCGGATAATGCCGGCCCGAACCAGAGTGGCCCGTTTGCTGCGCTGTCAATAAATTCACCCAACAATGGGGGGGGGGGAGACAGCTGCCCCAAAGCAGGTGGACGCGAAGCGGCAGCCGATGCTTGTCAGACGAGGTCAGTGGTCACCAGACAGGGTCAGGTGTCATCACATTGGGTTATTTGTCACCAGGCGGGGTCGGTGGTCCCCAGACATGTTCGATAGTCACCAGACGTGTTCGGTAGTCACAAGACGTGTTCGGTAGTCACCAGACGGGTCAGTGGTCACCAGGCGTCTTCGGCAGTCACCAGGCGGGGTCAGGGGTCACCAGGCCGACGGTGATAACCAGGAGTGAGGACCGCTCGAGGCGCTACCCTTGGCCTCAGACATAGCCGAGTGTGACAGCGGCGCGCGGGCTCCAACCGAATACATTGCCTCTGTCATTTGGCATGTTTTCCGCCGACTGCGACGACGGTTGCTGAGATGCTAATACGGAAGGAAAGCTAACAGCATCTACAAGTATAATGGTGTCGTGAGCTGGCACAGCCGCCACTGGTCCGCCTGGGGCGGCTGTTGACAATCCGTTTCCGTTCAACGCCAGCCCGCCGTTGCTGCATTCGCCAGTTGGTGCGTTCAGGGCGGCGGGCAGATGAAGTGGGGGTAATCAAAACACTAAGTTAATTGAGGCGGGCATATTGTGCAGACTTCTCCCCTCCAGGGCCTGCGGGGCGGCGTTTTGTTGCCGCGCCGTTGCCGTGGTAACCGGTGAGACCAGCGCGCCTGTTTGGCTTCCGTGTGCTGCGGTGTATTGATAGAGGCCAGAGTGCTTGTCAGAAGTGCGGATGCTGCAGCGGCGCGTGGCACGGCAGAGCGCTCGCTTCCAGAGTGAGAGACAGCACTAAAACGCAGCTCAGACAGATCGAAAAAGCCTACAGTGCACCTGAAAAAGGCCGTGATGCCTTTCGTGTGATGAGTTGGGGATGACAGAATTCACACGTCAAAAAATACTATTGTCAAGTAATACGTTATCAAGCAGCATTTACATCTCAAGTGCAGCCGTAGTGTACATAGACCTGGAAACGAGATGGACACAGAGTCGTCTACCAACTTCCCAGAAGCCCGGGCAGGAGGCTTTTGATTCCGCCTCCACGGATGAAACCGCGCTTAAACGAATCCCGCCACAAATTGCAAAGATTGCTGAGCTGCTGCCCTCGCTATGGCACAATCTACAGGCTCCGATGTTCTTCTCCGGTAGCTACGCACGCGGATTCAGTTTGACCGCGCCGCAATACGTGACCTCTGACCAGCTGACCCCGGGTCCGGTGGCACGCTCGCCCGCGCGCCGCGGCACCACCGTCGGAATAGTCGGTCGCGAGTCGCCGGCGGCACCCGGGTACAAGTGCGCCCTCTCATCAGCTAACAACGTTTGCGGCCGCTAATACACCCAATCAGAGGTCTCCTCATCCCGGGCATCTCAATTACCCGCATTTCACGCTCAATAGACGACCGTGGCCGCGCCAGAAAACAAGGGCAGCTCGCATGTGTGCCTGTTTACAGGGCGGGCGAGGAGCGGCGACCGGTCCAGCCCGGGTCGCGGGGCGGGGGACCCTGCCGCGGCAGCCGCGGCATCGGACCCACCCGACCCGCCGGCCTCCCCCGCCCCCCGCTGCCAGCACGGTGATCCTACTTGGCGGAGTCGGGGAGGGCAGGGCGCTGTCGATAGCGACGCGCCAGTTCGTCAGTCGCCGACGCCGACGATATCGCTGACGGGCGGGAACGGACAGACAGGGGAGCGGGGCTGTCACGCGGGGGTAACCACGACAGCGAACCCCGACGCGCCGTACGGGGTGAAGGGCACAAGGCGTGCGGCGATCGTCTTCAGCGTCAGGAGAGCACAGCGTTATCATCAGCACAGACCAAAGGGGCGTGGACCACAATCACCTCACACACACTCCTGGCCGCCGCCTGAGGCTGTAGCCGCAGACTGGCGGAGCCGCCGCGGGCCGACTTCGGTCGCTCACCTCCGCCCACGAGTAGCAGCGAGTCGTTGTGCGCCCAGTTGCAGAGGAGGCACTCGCCGCTGCCCTGGTGCAGCCGTTGCACGTACTCCTCCATGAATTCTGGCACGGGCGGCGGCGGCACCAGACGCAGGAAGTCGGGCGGCGGCTCCAGCTCGCCGCAGCCCAACTCGCCGCCGCAGCTCAGCTCCAGCTCCTCCATGACGTCAGCGGCCGCGCCCAGCGCCGCGCACAGCCATGCGACGGGCACCTGCAGCGGGAGAACGACGGGCCGTCAGGGGCGGCCATGTTGCGTCCGGCGTGACGCCACGAGCCGAGCCAGTTCGCGGCGTGACCCAGTCCAGAGCGGGTGGACGAACGCTGTCGCGGCTCTGCATCGCGCCGCGCGTCCCGACTGATTACGGCTCTCATCGCTCACCCGCCTGGTCTGTGATGACAAGAGCGAACAGGGTGCAGCGCTGTCCGCGGCGCGCAACTGCCGCCGCTCGCTTCCTATAGCCGCACGTAACACGAGCTCTACCTACGGTGTGCCTCCCTCATGAAGAGCTTAACACTATCTGATTGGCGGACACACTCGGCGGCGGATTCGTTGAAGACCGGCAGCTCCGAGCTCAAGTGGTTTAACAGGCGAGCGTTCGCCGCCCGCCGCGCCGCCTCGTCGCCTAAAGAGCCGCCCATAAAGATATCCATCGGAGGCCGGTACCTGCGCCCTGCGCCGCAGAACGAAACCGAACGTGATCAGAAGGCGGCCGTGGTATCGGCTTCATCTGGGACCTAATAGTCTTTTCATTAACTGGCTGATGGTGAGATAAGTCCGGCGTTGCTCGGCGCGGTCGGCGCGGGCCGCGCCGACCCAGGTCCCATCTGAAGGCGTCCGAGCGTCCATCAACAGCTCTCGGAGGCGATCACGCCCGACGCCGCGCCGATAACGCCTCAGGGGCCGTGTCGGTAATGCGTTTAGAGGCGCGGCGGACACTGGCGCGGGGCGCGGCTGTCAGTCAGAGGCGGGCCGGGCCGCGTCACAATCGCCGCCGCGCCGCCGCCGCCGCCGCGGAAAATGGAGAGCTGTTTGATCGGCGGCGACGTGCTGCGTCGACCCGGTGAGCTTTCGAAACTGGCCCTTTTCGGAGCTCTGTACCAATTTAGGTTAAAAGGGAGCCTTGAAGCCTTGTCAAAGCCTACTTTGCGTGACGGATGGGAGGAGTGGCCGACTTGGGCTTGTGCAGACGCCGTGTCACGCGGGCCCTGTATTATCAGACTCAGGCTCGTGCAGCCGCCGTATCACGAGGACCCCGCGTTATCAGACTTAGGCTCGTGCAGACGCCGTATCACGAGGGCCCCGCGTTATCAGACTTGGGCTTGTGCAGACGCCGTGTCACGAGGGCCCCGTATTATCAGACTCAGGCTCGTGCAGACGCCGTATCACGAGGGCTCCGCGTTATCAGACTTAGGCTCGTGCAGACGCCGTGTCACGAGGGCCCCGTATTATCAGACTCAGGCTCGTGCAGACGCCGTATCACGAGGGCTCCGCGTTATCAGACTTAGGCTCGTGCAGACGCCGTGTCACGAGGGCCCCGTATTATCAGACTTAGGCTCGTGCAGACGCCGTATCACGAGGACCCCGCGTTATCAGACTTAGGCTCGTGCAGACGCCGTATCACGAGGACCCCGCGTTATCAGACTTAGGCTCGTGCAGACGCCGTATCACGAGGACCCCGCGTTATCAGACTTAGGCTCGTGCAGACGCCGTATCACGAGGACCCCGCGTTATCAGACTTAGGCTCGTGCAGACGCCGTATCACGAGGCCCCCGTATTATCAGACTTAGGCTCGTGCAGACGCCGTATCACGAGGCCCCCGTATTATCAGACTTAAGCTTGTGCAGACGCCGTATCACGAGGGCTTCGTGTAATTCGAGGGTTCACTGAGTCAGGCTTCGCCAGTCACAAACACGACATTGAGCCGGGTTAGGCTAATCAGAACGTGATTCCATACCATTTCAATTTCGCGGAAGATCCCAATGAAGCAGTCTCATAGGTACAAACATCCCATTGAGCCAACCTCGTGTAATCCGTTTTTGGGATGCTACTGCCGATACTGACGCTTACAGAACGTTTCTCAGGCATGACCATCTTAACTCCAAAACTGCACAGAATGTTCCAACAAGTCCACCGGCCTCGGGTCTCTTCCACCCAAGAAAAAAGGCACAACGCCGCAATGCATATACGCAATCCTTTTTCATTGTAACTCCGTTGCAAATCAGCACCAACTGGCTCCTGTGGCACGTGACAATACCAGTGCCAAAGTGCGAACACCTGTTATACATCTGATCTGTCAAACAATGGGCATCACACATCGCTGCAAAAACGCACCGTTTCCACGAACGCCAGGCAATCAATGTTACTCGCCGCGAAAATCCTTCCCCGTCCAAAAGGCTGAGAACGGCTTTCCTTATATGGTTGTAAAGTCCGACAGGCCCGCACAACCTCGCCAAGGGATTTCTCACCACCATCTCCGGGGATTCAGGGCTCCTGGACCGTCTAAATTGGCATGCTATAAAAACGGTCCCCCGGCAAATTGAGTTACATTCGAATTGAATTCCGCCCTTTGGGTACGGATATAAAATTAGAACTCGGTAACAAAACGCGCCCCATTGCTCAAGTCACTCGACAGGGATGCAGGGCGGAGGCAACAAAATTGGCTTTCCGTGGCCCTTGACGAAGAATGCGTGGTGGAACACCCGGGGAATGCTGCGCAGGTTCAGGTCCGAACTCACGGGCTTGGGTTCTGCACGGGCACTCAAACCCTCTGACCCGCAGAAAACCCAAAATCATGGCGTCAGCGTCACCTATGCACTGGTGATGCAATGTATCATTATAATCGCAGCTTACAGCCTTAAATCAAAGTTATCACGCGCTGACGCCGCCCATGCGTGCATCCATTCACACCGTCTCAAATGTTTCCGAGGGAACGCCGGCGAACAGTGAATTCTGAGCCATGTTTGACTTCCGACAATTGGACTCGGAAAGTTTTGCTCTCAGAGTCGGTCTGATTTATCAATTTGCTGAAGTTTCCACTTCAGGAGGTGACTGAATTTGCGGCAGTGCATGAAGGGAAAATTTGGCAGCAATCAGCGTAACCCAGTTAGGGCGATGGGCCGGTGTGATTGCAGGAACTGCCGGTGCGAGCTCCCCGACGTCAGCACAGTAGCACTCTGATGCGAATTACAGCTGACTCGGCATATCCGGCAGTCGACCGCCATCGATTTAGGACGAAGGCTGGTAAACAGCACTATTGTTCCCCAGTTTTCTGGTAGCACGCAGAGCTGAGTGGCAGTACACAAAGGCTTAATGGGTACTGCTGGGCACAGCTGGTGCACTGGCAGCAGTCGCAGCATCGGGTCGGTGCCGCAGCCCGGCACGTTCTCCGCGCCACGCACGCCGCGCCACTGTAAAGGGCTGAGGCGGATGGCTGAGATGCGCTCGGCTCCATGGCTGAGTCGCGCTCGGCTGCCATGGCTGAGTCGCGCTCGGCTGCCATGGCCGAGACGCACACGGCTGCCATGGGCTTACGCCGGATCGTGTAGCTTGCAGTTCCCATGCTCTGAACCTTCCGCGGCTCCGTGGTCCCCGGCGGGTAACTGCTCCCACATTGGGACGACGTACTCCTGCCGTCGCTGATGTCCATCTCAGAAGCGCATCTCATCTGTGTTAGGGATAAATTTGTTTCGAAGTTTCTCTGAGTTGGTACATGCGTCCGTGAAGGTGTTCTTGACGCCATCGGCATTCTGAGATAAAAGGCAAGCACTAATGAGCCTTTTTGAATATTTTCTTCATCAGCATCCCCATAGCTTTTATTTCATCATACACGAACGAAACTCGATGAGATCGGATGCAAGTTAGGCAATATAGGTCCGCTTCTAGACCCAGATCAGGTAACCGGTCTCGGACGCTGTCGCTGGCGGAATCGCCCGCGTCATGGGATGCCGCACTCAGCTCGCACGTGATAAAACACCCCTGACCTCCAGGTCACGCCCCGCCCGCGGCGGGTCGGCCGCGTCCCACGCGGGGCGAGCAGCTGCTGCCGGACAGGACCGACGGCGCGGCACTGCACCAGTCACGCCGGCCGATCGGTCACCGGCCAGCAGGGGCGCGAGGACAGGCGCCGGCGCCGGCCGCACGACCTCGCCGCCCTGCCACTGATCCTGATCGGCCACGGCTTCACGGGCGCGGCACGCAGCCGGGGCTCGAGACACGACGCCGTCGGCGCGCTCTGCTCCGGGGTGTGCTGACTTATGGTCCGGTTGGCACGGGCGTTTCAAAGGTCACGCAGAGTGAAGGAGAAGGCCATATCGATGCTATCGGTTGCTGCTCTCTATCCTGGAGGCGAATATGTGCTCAAGTGATGCCTGCCCAGTACGTGCAAAGCCGGGAAGTCGGCAGGGCACCAAATTAGTGAAGTCTAAATGCGCGGCATCGCGCGCAGGAAACGTACTCATAGTTGAGTCAGAAGTCGAACAGCGAGAACAAACTCTCACGGCGCCGTTTTATAGTCGCTGATGTAACATAGTTTTGAGCGGCGTGCGATATAACGGCGATCCGGCATTCACAGCCAGCTAGGGTCACACTTGTCATTCCACCGGAGCCGCGGTTGTTGCGGCGGCCTCCGTCACCTACACGCGGGTGTGTGCATTTCCGCAGCGGCGCGAGGCGGCGCAGTTGGCCCCCTCCCCGCCCCGTCCCCGGCTGCTCTTTACCGCGGCCCGAGTGTCTGCCTGGCTTCAGGAGAGGGGCCGTAAAACCTGAGAGCACAGTGCCCGCAGGGAGGTGGGGATTAAGCCAGCTCCAGCGCGCTACGGCGGCGTTTTAAGTTAGCACCGAGCCGAGGCTGGGAAAATTCAATCGCCCAGGGACAGGCCCCTCGCCGGGAGAGCGCGCAGTGGGACATTTATGTGCCGCGTTCGAACTTGCGAGGAGCTGTACGTCAGGCGCGGAGCACGAACCTGGGCCAGTGAGGGGCGCTGGCTGCCGGGGAGCTGGGGCGCTGGCTGCCTGCGGATGCCAACGCCGAGAGGTGCTGCCTTAAAGTGCGGAGACAAGCAAAGAGATGAGTGCCGTGAATGGTAGACATGGAAACCAAACGGAGGAGTGTTCTGCTGTGATTTAAAACTTGAGGCATGAAACATTCATCTAGGTTTCGAGACGTAAATGGAATGGCTTTTATCCTCCACACCGGCTTTTTTGTCTCGTCT